GCCTGTGGCCTGTGGCACCAGGTAGCGCTGTGGGCGGGAGCGCACCGGTTGGCACGGGCGGGTGCCACCCCGGCCCAGGCCTTCGCCCATGCCACGTCTTGCACCTGGGTCCTCTTTCTACCCGACCCCAAATCACCACGATGCCGCTTCCTCCAAGAGGGCCTCCCTGCTCCCAGTCCTGTGCTAAACCCAGGCACGGCGACTGAGGGCACTCGGGACACAGGCAGCTTCACCGAGCCCTCGCCCGGCCTGGTCCCACCCCTCCACCCCAGGCCGAAAGCTCGGCCCTCCCAGAGCAGGGAGAGCGGAATGGCGGGCCCAGGGCCCTCCCCAGGCTGGGGCACGAAGGACGGGGAGGCCGGCACTCACTGCTGTGGGGCCACCCAGCCTGCCTCCCCGCACCTCGGCGATGGCCAGCTTCTCCTGGGCCACGTAGCCAGACACGTTGATCATCTCCATGCGGTCCCGCAGCGGCTCGGGGATGGTGTCGGTGACATTGGCCGTGCAGATGAACAGCACCTTGGATAGGTCCACGGGCACGTCCAGGTAGTGGTCCAGGAAGTTGGCGTTCTGCTCAGGGTCCAGCAGCTCCAGCAGGGCTGACGATGGGTCACCCTGGTAGCCTCGGCCAATCTTGTCCACCTGGGGCAGTGACAGGAGACCAGGGCTGGGGACGCTGGGCCATGGTTGAGGGCAGGGGGACACAGCCTCCTCCATCATCAGCAGCACCATGGGGATTTTTTTCTTTGTACTGGGAATTGAACCCACCAGCTCCCTCCCTGGGCTTTTTGAGGAGGGTCTCATTAAGTCACTAAATTTCCCAGGTGGGCCTGGAACTTGCAACCCTCCCGCCTCAGCCTCCTGAGTGTCTGGGTTGACAGATGAGGGCAAGGCCTTGGACACACCCCGCCGGGACCGTGCATGAGCCCGTGATCTACCTCGTCTATCAGCACCAAGGGGTTCTCGGTCTTGGTCTTCTTCAGGCACTGGATGATCTTCCCAGGCATGGCACCCACATAGGTCCGCCTGTGGGGCACACACGGGTCAGGGCTCTTGGAAGCCCAGGTCCTGCACCCTGTACCACACGCGGCAGTGTGCCATGTGCTCCCCCAGGCAGCTCGGAGAGGTGGCGGGGAGATGTGTGTCCCAGTCCACAGCGAAGCCCAGGCACGTGTGTTCCAGAGGCCACCACGCTCCCCACCCACAGTGCCCACCCAGAAGCCAGGGCCAGGAGCAGTCAGACCTGGGACCTCACAGAGGGGCCTGGCCTGTTCCCCACCCTGTGTCTCCTATGTGCCCACACTGAAGCCACTGCAAGGGCAGACAGGAGCCGGGATCAGGGCCCCCATCTGTAATCCTGGCGTTCAGGATGCTGAGGTGGGAGGGCCACTGCAAGTTCAGGGCAGCCTGGGCTACAGGCTGACTCTGAGGTCACCTTGAACTAACAATGGAACCTTATCTCAAAACACAGAACAAAAGGCAGAGAAAATCACAAGGTAGGGAGACTATGCATGCCGGGAAGGTCGGGGCTGAGGTGTGCAGAACGCTGACTGTGGGGTGTGTGTGGCACTGAGTCTGGGTGTGTATGCATGCACGCGTTTGTGTGTGTGTGTGTGTGTGTGTGTGTGTGAAGACCCAGAAAGCGGCCCTGGCCAAAGTCAGGAGTAAGCCATGTGGGTGTCAGAAACTGCAGTACACCAGGCAGAGGGCATGGCTATGCAAAGGCCCGGGGGCAGCTTGGGGCCCAGCCTGGTGCAGGAAGAGCAGAAAATCTCATGTGACTGGAGCAGAGGGAGCAAGGAGCAGAAAGGGAGGTGGGGAGGGAAGGAAACCAGCACTGTGCTCTGGCCCTGGGGAGGTGGAAGCCATGCAAGGGCAGAGGGGAGATTCGCTGTTATCTCTGTGCTCCATTAAACCCCAGGGTCAGTTTCCCGCCTTCACCCTTCTCGGCCCCTCTCCTCACCCCTCCACAGATGTTACCTCAATGACCCGGATGCCCCTCCTTCAGAAGGCGCCACGCCCTCTCCTCACCCCGAGGGGCCTTTGCCCGCAGCTCCTGGACAGAGGGCCCAGGCCTCAGAGCAGGGAGAAACCAGACAGGGGCTGGGCACACACGGCCCACAAGGCCACTGGGGCTCTGGCTGGAGCGCAGGGCCCGGCATGGACTCCCAGGGTAGAGAGGAGCCCAGACACACGCAGCGCCGGATTCAGATGGGCCTGACGCCATCAACTCCCAGTTCTGTCCTCCAGCAAGTGGAGCTCAGCGCTCATGGCCAGAGCACGCGTTATAACAGATCAGAAAGGCTGACAGGAAGGCAGAGGCCGGCCAGTGAGGACAGAGGACAGTGCCTACCTGTGCCCCTTGATCTCGGCCACGTCGGTCATGCCCCCCACACTGAAGCGGAAGTACTCGCGGTTGAGGGCACGGGCGATGGAGCGTGCGATGCTGGTCTTGCCCACACCAGGGGGGCCGTAGAAGCAGAGGATCTTGCCCTGGGTGGACCGGCGAAGCTGGCTGACGGCGATAAACTCCTGTGGGCAGAGGGCGGTGGACATGGCCACTCCTCCCCTGGGTGCGGGCTCCAACCCCTTGGATGTCTGGGGCTGCAGGAAGGGCCACCCAGTCAGGGGAGCACCTGCATGGGGAAGGGCCCCCAAAGCCCAGAGGGACGACTAGGCCCCAGAGCTGCCAGGCTGACGCAGAGCGTGCTCTCCTCTCCTGGGCCCGGCTCCCTCAGCTGGGCGCCTCTGGCTTCTGGGGTCCCCAGCATGAAGTAGCACCAGGGTGGGTTGGGGGCCCAAGGACTGCCTGGGGACCCTGAAGGGCTGCAGCAGTCCCTCAGGTGGGGCCCTCAGGTCACACAGTGTGCTTAGCCCCTACCTGGGCCTCGCAGACCCATTGGAGGCTCTTCGGCACCGGCCCGTGGTCCCACATAAACCCAGAGCACGC